ACGAGGAATACCTGATTTAATGCTGAAGGGCTCGTTAAATCTAGGGTTCTACGTGCATGATGTGTGTGTGGTGCCCATTCACGCCGTGTGTGATACAGGTCCCCTCCATGACTGGGGATAGGACCCTCGGGGCATAGGCGAGAGGCACACTTAACACCTCAAGTATTGATAAGAGGGGGCGACTTAGGTTGATGCCAAGCAGAAAGCAATCCAACGTGCAGCCTGATCCCCAGCACGTCTGGGGAAGGGATGGGCGCAAGTGTTTGGCATATGAGAATAAGCCTTGGGGCCGCAGGTGCTCCGAGCCACCCAGGACAGAATGGCAAACGCTAGAGTGCCTAAGTCCGAGTGAAACTCCCCCCCTCACATCCTTTAATGGGCAGACTATCATTGTCTTGAGCTTCACCGATATTTTGCGTGCATATCTAGATCATTACTTGATCAGATATCAGCTCCTGCCTCTAGCTCTATGCACGGTTTTCCGTTTTGCATTTTAGAGCATACGCGCTATAGAGCATCTACGCGGTTAGCATGGAACAGGATATCCGCCTGATGGGCTCGTATGACACTCCCTTAAGCAGACGTATAGTTCTCTGTATCGGCAGGCAGATTGTGTTGATGTTGGTCGCTCAACGTAGTAATCCGAGCTCCGCCAAGATGGGATCTGACGCGAACTACAGAGACACCTACATATGATCTCCATCTAGCTCTTTGCGGCCTCATACATATATGAGCGGCCACGCTACGGTATGGAAGAATCACTCCATGAAAGCCCAGCCGACAGGTTTTTACAGCATCTAGCCCTCCTTCGCTATTCAGATGGAGGGCATCACGAAGTCTCGGCTCGGTCGCTGGCCCTGCTTACGCTGTCCAGGCCCTTAGATTGCGGGGAAGACCACATCATAATGGTGTCCAGGTGGCATGGCTGAGGTGACACAAAGCATCCACGTAGGGGAGCATCAACGTAGCCTTTTGCCGCCCGGTGAGCAACCCTGGCCCCATTTGGAACGGAGGAAGCTCGGTGATGTCTTGAAGGATCAGGAGATGTGGTTGACTGCATCGTTGCAGGCGCCATGCCGGCGAGCAGCAGATGGACGGGCGCTGTGAAATTAAACTCAAATACGATGGTGACCATGGCCTCCAGACGCAGCCGATGGTCTCTCAACGGTTCAGTCTTTGTGGAGTTGATCATTTGCCGAGTAGGCGGAGCATGAGCCGATGGCAAAACTCAAACATCTCGGGTATTAAGTGCCTAACGTTGTGCGAAGATCTTCGAGGCAAAGTCATGTTGTGGCCCAAACGTGTGACCGGCCATCCATGCAGCTCAACGTGTCTGGTCTGCCGAGATGCTCGATGGTTCATGTGCGCGGCGCTGCGAGACATCATAATGAAATAATCCGTCACCATTTGCGTGTTGTTGACCTAATTGACTGGGGTCGTAGAGCTTGGCTGCAGGCCGTGTAATGCTGGTGCATCCATACGCCCCATCCAAATGAGAAGCGAAGGCAGGTTGGCAGGTATGTTGAGGAGGCGTAGGAGGATAGATACGTAAGTGCAATTCCAGTTGCATCATAACCGAGCGAGGAGGCGATATTAACAACGGGTGTGGGTATCATGAACTAGACCGGCCTTCTCGTTGAGGCTTCCCCTTTTTTTTTTTCCTGGGGAGGCGAAAGTTTGAGTTGAGCTGGGTGTGACGTTTGGATGGCAACTGGATTGTAAAGGGCGGAGACAGAAGGTTTGGATTGGGGACCAATGGTTCGATGTTTGGATGTACACAGGCTGAGATGGAGGGATAGTGAAAGAAACAGTACTGCTGCAGGCTGCAGCCAAACGGATCTTCTATGCAGCGCTGGCCTGTCATGGGCAGCCAGTCGCGGTGGGCTGGTATCGAGATGGCTGCCAATCTGCATGAGTCTGTCAGTGATCTCCACCTACCTGCTGCAATGGCTGCATCCATCAAGACTCTCCGATATGCAGGGCGCACAGGAGGGAGGAGGGTGTTGGGAAGACTCGGCAAGCTGAGGCTATAATTGACCCGGGAGAGCAGCAAAAGGGTGTGCCGTAGAGGCAGGTAGGGTCTAGGCGGGTGGTATTGGTTGCGTGGACGCGGCGAGTTTATGACATTTCGCTTACCAGCACGTTGCAACGCAACGACGCGAAGGCAAAGCAACCCTAGAGCCGTCCACCCATTCGCCGTGACCCTGGATCGGCACGTAGCTGGATGCCGTTTTTGGGAGCCGGTCCATCTTCAATAACTCTCGCAACGTGATCTGTCACAAACGAAACCTTCCTTTCAACCGCGGTTAGCCAGAAGAAGCTTCTGGATGTCTTGCGTTTAGGTTTTCGTCATTGCCGAGCTCGTCTGCCCGTACTCGCTTGCTGGCTGCGACGGTACTTGTGATGAGACATGTAGAAGGGATGCAAGTACCGCCGTACGAGGCCGAGCCAGAGGGACCAGAGCTCTTCTGCCCACCGGCCTCGTCGTTGGTTTCCCCGGCTCGATCGACACGGCGCACAAATCTTGCGAGTGCGGGAGCTCCAAAGAGGAGGGGACCCTATGCCCTAGTGGAGTCGGTGAAGGCTCTCTAGGCTGGAAGGAGGAGCAACCACCTCCTGGGTCTAACGCCGCCCTGACCAGCAATGCAACTCAGGAGCCGGATGGACGCCATGAGGTTAACCTTCAGCGCTAGGCCAGCGGCTGGCATTGTGCCATCACGGTTGGCGCTAGTCAGCACCTCCGATTGAAGATGGAGGATGTCCAGCTCGCCTTTCACCTTCCCTGGAGAGGATAGGAGGAGCGAGAGAAACGGGCTTAGGTCGCATCGAGGCGAGTGAAGTGCGGTGTTTTGCGATCGACCGCAGCATTAAGTGGGCGGCGACCGGCTGCGTGCTCCCCGAGGAGGATGGAGGGCGGGCAGATAACAGATAGCAGATTGCAGATATAGGCAATCGCGAAAGCAGAAGGAGGAGGCGTGGTGTTGACGGATGGCGATTGTCAATCATTTCTTTGACTCACGAAAACTCAACCGGCGATGCAAGACGAAGGTTTTAGCGGCCACCATCAAAGTGCTCTAAGTGGTTCGCCGGGCTCGATAAAAAAGTTCAGCCACAATTTCTTATCTGCAATTATCTAATCTGGTGGTGTTATCTCAATTGCGAAATCGCAGCTAGCAAGAGCCATTGACTTTTTGGCCTCCGTCACTAATTGTCGACGATAACCTGGATCTGGTTTTTATCGCCTACCCGCAGGAATTCAAGTTCCGTAATTTGTGTGCGAAGCCAAAGTAAAAATAAATTAGAAATGCTGGCCAGGGCGGTAACAATGGCTGACCCTGGAATGGTCCAGTCCCCGCGAGATGCAATCAGAAGCGGCCTGGCGTCGCACGTGAAGAATGAGACACAAAAAAAATCCTCAACGATCGAATCCCTCCCAAAGCATCGAGCTGTGACACTCCTGAAGCCAGCCAGGGCGACCCTGGGCCGGTGCGTTGCAATCGAGAACTAGTCGATGGGCGGGGATCTTCCCAAAGACGGTGCCCATGGAGAGTGGGCTGTTGGGGCGCCTCCTTGCCACTGGCTTTGGTTGGATGCGCCGCCTCGTATGATGCCAAGCTGCCGTGCTGGATCACCGAATCTGAGATGGTATTTATGGATTATATTGGGTGTAGTGTTGCACTTTTCGCCAACCTGCAGCAAATCTTCGGGATATGCAGGAATCGGGCTGAAGGATCGTCTACCGAGCTCTGCCGTGGGACAGGGTCCTCGAGGTCGAGTTTTTTCCTCGACAGCCTCGAGTCCGACTGACCCCCGCGTGGAGTGACTGAGAACTGACACAAGCAGGCTTGAGCAGATCTAAGATGACTAAACCTACAATTCAATTCATACACACAGTAAGCAGAGCAGGGCTATAAGTAAAAAATTTGCAGTTGAGCCAACGGTTCTGTCTGGAGGCTTGCCTAGTGCCCAGCTAAGCTCTGATAGGTCCCCGGCGGCCTGCCCTAGAGCTAGAGGCCGGGGGGGTGTTCGTACCCCCTGTAGGCGCTGGGAGCTGGGTGCTGCAGGGCCTGGCAGCCAATCAAGCCGGCGGCAGGGTCCGCATTCTTATCTCGCAATACGGCCAGGTACCCACTAACAGATGGGCTGCACTGTCGCCGCACGCACATCATATTTTATACATCGGCCGCTGGAGTTCGAGCCCGCGCACCCTGTCGCCATCTCGCCTAGTCCAAGACCGGCGTTCCGTAAAGTGGTGAAGACCTTGTAAGACCTGGCCGGGGGCTGAGGGTCGGCGATGAATCATGCTGAGGTTTCTCGGTGATGGGAGGATTCAGGCTTGTCTTGGTCCTGGCCGTTCCGAGGATTTGGGAACAGCTCTTTGTGTGCCTGCGGGTCCTACTCACGGAGGTTACACACTGACCATTGTTATACCAATTGCTCATTAAACTACACGCCTTCGTCTCAGAGGCTCATTTCTCGACGGTCAGTAGGCGCATCGTATCATGGAATCGGTGGCTGTAATGACGTCACGAAGCATGCGATCGAGATGCGCTATCATCGTAGCTCCAGGCAGTTCGTCCGTCTCATCTCACTCGCTCACAACAACGGGAAACAGACATCATATCAGTCAATTGTTGCATATCGTGCTCAGTATTTTGTGGGAGGCTCAGCGCTGTATCATTTAGGGTGGACGATCACGGCTTCAGCAGTGCACATCGTTGTGGAGGGCCGCGCAAATCCCAAACCCGCAACGCTGGCTCTGGCTTAGGGCATGCAGCCAAAACTTGGATGGCCGACGCCTCTTGGATAGAAACGGCAATGGCAATGTAGGTACTAATGCCCGCGCAGGCGCCTGCATAGGATGCCTGTCAGTGAGCCCAGCTTATCTTGGCTTCAACCCTTGCCCGTGCAGCTCGCTAGCTGCATATCGAGGCAACCGTCTGTGCATGCCAAGCCCCACAGAGTTTTCTTCCCCCTTTGCTCGTCCTGGACTCGCAATGATGGGCATCGTGTTCCGCCACGGTGAGTGGTTGAGCGGCCAAGGTAGCATGCCGAACCCACCCAGATAGACTCAACCCCAGGCGGGCTTGAAACAGCATTGGTGATTCAAGGGAGAGAACTGGAGAAGCACAAGGTCCGTATGTAAGTAAGAGCGTTTGTATGCGAGTACGTACGCACATATGTACACACTATGTAAGGCGGGGGGATCTTTGGTGCTTGCAAGCTTGGATGCTCTCATCGTCGATCTACATGGCACGCAAAAGGGCCAAGCTTATTCTCCTACTTCCTAAACACCAGGTGAGGGAGGCGTCAGGAATGGCGGGGGAGGGAGCTGTGAGCTTCGTCCACAACCGGACCGGTGCTGGTCTCTATAGAGACAAACAGCTTCATTCCGGTGAAACAATAAGGACCCTGCTATGCGGCTTACGTTCCAACGCATTCACTCCAGCGGCTCTGGTTGCCATCGCCCCTCCGACTGCGCTACAATGGTGAAAGTTTCTGGTGTTGTGTTGCATATGCCTAGGGGGTGTGGTGGTCTGATGTGCGCTTGGATGTGTGGGCACCGTTGACATCCTGGTTGCTGTGCGCCATCCTGCTGCCCCATTCACTCATTGGCCCCAACAATTCGAGATGGGCGCATCTGTCCATCTTGCCTGTGGTAGCAGGGGGCGAACAACGGGAGCAACAGAGGCCAGCTAATAATACGGGAGGCCGAAAGTGACAGCTGCTGTTGGGCGAAAGATTTTCCCGCTAGCTGCTGCAGAGGCGAGGCAATCCGGAAACCTAACTCGAGTCTGGTCAAGGGGAGTGGCAGTGGCGGCGGCGGCTCGCTCGGTGAGGGAGGGATGGATGGTTCCGGCCCATCCAGCAGCAGGAATGGATGGTTGGATTTGAATAGGTGAGCGACTGATGATAGAGCCAGCCAGCCAACCATCCATCCACAACCCTCCACACAGACACGCAGCGGTGCCGGCAGTCGGCGACTGGTAGCTGCGGCTTTTGATGGTCTTTCGCTTGGCTCGAGCCTGATAAGAAGACAAACGAGAGAACTCGGGACTGGCAGATAGGTATCATGGAAGCTCGCGTTTCGCTTTCCGGCGCTCATCCTTTCCCTTCGCGGGGCGTGATAGCTTGTGCAGGCAGGTAGGTTGTAGGTGCCTGTCGACCGTTCCATCAGCAAAGCATACAAGGTAAACACATACGAGAATCAATCGTGGACATGGGTTGCAATTGAGATGGAGGAGCTCCTGTCACATCTGCGCTGCGTCCTTGGCAACGGTCCTCTGCTGTTGCCAATTGGCCTCCGTCGACATCGGCCATGATATCTTCATCATATCATCTACACCCCCTGCTCGAGGCCGGTCAGCGTCTTTGCTCGCCCGTCCCAAAACAGGCCAGAGCTATACTTGGGTGCATGCTTGAAGCTATCCTGCCCCTCCCGCTCACTCGCCTGGCTGAGCCCCACCGTGGCATCCAACATCCATCCCATCCAAGACCATCCCTGGCAGCCCAGACATCCCAGACACACACACACTGCTTTTGGGGGCATCCACCACTCGTCAATCTGTCAAAGACAGCGACCGACAGAACATCCTCGTCCGTGCGGCCACCCTCGACGTTGCAGGGCCGTTGGATTGGTCGAGCAAGGGCTGGACTTGACGCACGCAACACTACACCATGGACGGCCAAGCAGGTCGCATTCTGGCAAACATGGTACATGGCATGGACTCATAACATACGTACATACATTACATACATACACACACGCATAAACCTACGTAGGCATACATATACACACATCCACAGCAACAAGCCCCTCCTTCCCCTCCCTATCGCCCCAGAGACGCACCTCAGCGTCTGCATGGAGAAAGACAACACGCACTTTTAGACGTCTTGTCTCTCCGCGGAGCCCACGAAAGGGGGTGGTCTGTTGATTGAATGCAGCGCGCCAGCTAAAATAGCTTGCTGCTGCTGCTTGGGCTAAGCTCGAGCATGGATGCAACTTTTACCCACACTACGGCTACCGGCCTAACCTTGTCCTGGCAGTCTGGCCTGGCCAGTCCGAGCCAGGCTGGTTTTGGACGGCACCGGCACGCAAGTAATAAGCACGAAAAGGCAGCATCGGCGGGTGATAAGGGCGCAGGCGCGGGAGGCTCCAAAGGGGCAGCCGGGAGCAGTCAGCCAGCCAGGGCTGAGAGGGCGGCGGCGGAGATGGGCAGATGGAAGGCATTGGAACACACCGTATCTATCTATCTACATACTGACAAATGTCCCATTGATGCTGGCTTGCGTGCTCGGCTGGCTTATTGCCTATCTCTGCCACCTCTGCAATGTAATGGGAGATGTAGCCATTGGGGTGCTTCGCGTCCTCTCGCCTGCTCCGATCGCACCACCATCCATCGACCGACCGTCCATGCTGTGACCCACCAAGTCCGGTTTTTAGTCACGACCCGAAGCAAGCCATCGCTGCCTCCACGCTGGGGCCACTGTCGCTCAGCGAGTCCAGTGCCTACAGCCCTCCCCCAACACGCCCAACAGGGCAAGGTACCTACTGTGGCTACAGTGGAGGTGACAGAGGTGGTCGCGATAACAAAGCGCACACCTCCCTCCCTCCCAGCTGGTGGCCTTGCGCTATACCCACCTCTTCCTCCCGCTAACCACAAGCTGCAAAGGTTCTCGCTCGCCAAACCCCCCCACCACTCATTCATTCCCCCCCCTGCACCTTCTCTGCCTCCGGCCGACAAGTGCCCTCGACATACTTGATTGTCGCACTGCGCAGCCTTCTCTCCATTTCTTGCTAATACCTCCCATCCGCACTTTCCGGAGCTGGTTCTGGTCTTTGATCTTGCTTATACCAACCTTGCTCACTTTGCTGGTGGAGGAACAGCCTTCGATTACCCCCGTCTTCCTAATTCTAATCTTCGATCCCGGCCCCAAGGCGTTTTCTCCGTCGCCTCGTCTTCCTTCCTATCCTCCAAAATACACCTCCGTCGTCCTGCAAGGCCGTTTACGCCGACAAGCCACTCTCAGCGCCCTGTTTCACTTGACTGTCGAAACACCTCCGGCCCTATTCCAGGATTGGATTGAGAGTATCGCAACTTCGAGCCCGGTTTTTTTACTTCCCGGACTCTTCCTTTAGACACGAACCTCTTCTCGCTGGTCGCGAAATCCACCTCTGTGTGGCTCCTGCCTACTTCGAATCTGCAACCTTTGTGAGAGCATCTTTTGGACAGAACGTCTCCTGGATCTACCTGCTGGACGGATTGAACTTGGTTGCTGGAATATTGCCCGAGCTCCTTCGTCTCTGCCTGTTTTGTTCCTCGAGCCACCGTCGTCCTCTGCTCTCACCTCTCCAGAAGCTGTGAGTACATCCACAAAGTAACTTTGTTCTTTTCCGCCACAGCCACCTCGAACTCGCCTCCCAACAACACCCATCCAACAATTTACTTGGCGCATCCGCACTTTTCGTCCTTCTGTTGCATTCCCTTCAATTCCTGAACATGGGTTTTCTATTCTGATTCTTCCTACATTCTCACAATGGGTCGGGTGCCCGCATTGTCTGTCAAATTCACCAGCGCAATCGCACCCTGGACCTAATTCCTGATCAATTTCTCCAATTGCGCTCGTCTTCTCGCCACGGCTTTTCAACTGACTCTCTATATCTGTTAGACTGCACCTTTAACTCGACGACAAACCTGAACCGCTTCCCTAAATTCCTCCAGCCTTGTTTAGATCTTTGTTGCTCTTGGACGCCACATGCATCTGCACCACTAGACAGCCTCTACCAACCTGCGACTTCCTGGATTACTGTTTCGAGTCGCCTATTATCGCTTGTTGGCCAATTGCTAGAGGGTTCAATTATCAGATATTCGCATCATTATTTCTCATCACAGCCTTCCCCCGCTTGTCATAGCTGGGATGCCTTACACCCCGCCGTTGAATCGATCCCCAGCCTCATCAGCCTCCAACTCGCCTGACGCCAGCCGTCGGTCGTCCTTGGTGTCCGGGGCCCGACCCTCCCTCCCTCGGTCCGCCTCCTACCTGAGAAAACATCGCCGAAATCCCTCCGTCACAATTCCTAGCGATGCCTCGTTCGGCTCCCTAACCCCCCGGGGGACTTCGGAAGATCTGCCTGCCATGGTCGCCAGCGCCAACTCGAGCGCCGGCGGTGCCAGCGTTCGGCAATCACCTCCACCCGTGTCCGATGAGCACGGTATGCCCAAGGGCGCCGTCATCTCTCCACCCGACTCAGCCTCGTCTGGTAGTGACGATGAAAGCACGCCCGAGATCCGCGGACGCAAACATACCAGGCTAGTCGGCCTGCGAGACGCTGTTAACGAACTCGCCCTCGCAACCAACTCGCACCAATCCTCCGCTCTACCGAGAAGCCATCACTCGGAGAACCAACATAACCAGCTTCTCGCGGAGCACCATGCCCACAACCGAAGCATGCATGTTAGTTTCAGCACCAGCTCGTTGCCTGATGCCCACAGGCGAAGAAACGGCCATGTACGGTCCGCCACAGAGCCTAATGTGCTAGTGACCAAGTCCGCAGACAACTCCATCACTGCATCCGAGGAGGAGACGGACGAGGAGCTCAAGTACAAGCCTCAAATGGTACGCAAGAAGTCGGGCGAGCTCGTTCGACCGGCCCTTCGACCATCCTCTCGCCGGCGGCCCTCCAGCATGCCCGGCACCCCTGTCTTCTCCAAGGCTGTGCATTTCGACTCCCACCTGGAACATGTCCGACATTTCCTACAGGTGGATCGCCCGTTGGCCGTCAGTGCAGGATCATCTCCTGTCGATAACCACGAGAGCGAGACCGAGTTCCCCTTTCCCGGTGGCTCTAAAGGCTCCGCCATCAAGGGTCCCCCATTCGAGTGGGAGATTGTCACGCCAAACTTCCCCTCTGATACCATCCTTCGAAAGGCTTTGCCTGCCAAGTTGGAGAAGGTTTGGCTCTCTTCAGACCACAAGTCGCTGCTTGGCTCCATTGCCGTTGCCAACTTGGCTTTCCAGAAGCATGTCATCTGCCGATTTACACTAGACTACTGGAAGACTACGTCTGAAGTGACAGCAGAGTACGATCAAGAGATTCGTCCTGGCCAGAATTCTGTTGGCCAAGACCGCTTCACCTTCTCCATCAAGCTCTCAGACACGATCAACCTAGAGAGCAAGACCATGTTCCTGTGTGTGCGCTACTCGGTGAACGGGCAGGAGTATTGGGATAACAATAACTCGGCCAACTTCCAGGTTGACTTCCGGAAGAAGTATCTTCCCCAGAACGGCAAGGATGGTGCTCGCAGCAAGGGTAACGGCGCTCTGCCCCGAAGCAACCGTCGCCGAAACACGCATGATGGCCGACCTGTTTCCACACCCTCGGTTTTCAGCGAGTTCAACGCTGAGGGAGGCCTCAACTATGACCAGCCCATCCATGAGGTTCTTGGTGAGTCTGGGCCCGGTCTTCGGTTCAAGTCCAAGTCCAGCAGCAA